CGCCACTTGTGGACAATGGTGTGACTCACAGTGTTGCCAGGTGCCTGTTCCTCAATTACTGCTTTTCTCCATTGTGGAGCATTTCCAGCCTTGCTGTCTTGATCCTCCTCTCTGTGCCGAGAAGCCCCTATTTTTTGGTTGTGATATTGCTGATGAAATGCACATGTACAATTTTGATGGGTTGTTGGTTTTTTTTGCCTGAGAGGACATCATTTTACAAAAGACACAAGAGAAAGGATGCAACCATTGCTACAAAACTGCCCTCACTAGAAGTACCTTGCTGATGCACTTAAACACCTTTGCTCTCATCTGTGAGTGCATAGGAATTTTCACTTTTCTAGAATTGGTACTATTTCATCTACTCTAGTTCAACTTTAGTGAACAATAAGGATGAGTGATAGAATCCCTGCAGAATAACCTTTTTTACTGCCATAAATTATGAAGAAATCTGCTTTATATAAACAATATCATAAAGTACCTGTTGTGGGTCATTCATCCCTGCCTCAGAGCTGCATACAGAGGTGAGGGCATCTTTACAAGAGCAATACTAGCGAGCCTTCTCTCAGATCAAGTTTATGTTATGAGGTATTACTCATTATTTGATAGTAACGGCTTTAATGTATCTTTATTATTGGAACTGGAATCATGATGCTTAATCATTGTGATAAATCTTGGTTTCTTCTTAAAGCATCTGTTGCTGTTGACAGCTGCTGTTCTGGCCTGGTAGCTGCTGTCCTGGGAACTCCTGCTGATGTGGTGAAAACCCGGGTAATGAACCAGCCAAGAGACAAGCAGGGAAGGTACGGACACTGTGGGGATGACTTTTCAGTAGAAAACTGAAACCTTGAGTTTCACCCATTTTGCTGGGAGTGAAGTCATAAGTTTCTAATGTGCTCTTCAGCTTTTTTATGATAATTTTACTGATTTAGTAAATGTTTGGGGGGGGGGGGAGCATTATTGTGATGGCCACCTGAGCACACCCAGTTACTCTAGTGGATTTCAGTTCTGATTAGACTCCACTGAGCCTACAAAAGAGCTTTTGCTTGTAAAAAATTAGCAGATACCAATTATGTTTCGGAGAGATGAGGATTTTTTTAAATTGTGTATTTGTAATCCTAACACTATTTGTTCTCCTTGCACACTCCTAGAGGTCTTCTGTATAAATCTTCCATGGACTGCTTAATTCAAACTGTACAGGGTGAAGGGTTCATGTCTCTATACAAAGGCTTTATACCAACCTGGATGCGAATGGTAAGTGCCTTTTAACTCTCTTTACTAGACAATTTAATTATTTGGCATTAAAATGTGAGTTCTTTCTGTGCCAGCACTTTTTTTAAACTATGTGGGTCTCTTGATTTTTACTTGCAGTTAGCATCATTGAATGTGGCTCCTGACGACACAACTGCACGCAGTGTCACTTCCCCCATGTTGGAACATACTGTCCTCCTTAACTACTAGTGATTTTCCTTGCTTTTTTTTTTTTTTTATATATAATTTCAGGCTCTCTCCTTTCTCCCTTCCCCAAACTCTGTTGTTCCCTTCTTACTCCCAGCCCGGACTCCCTTTGAATCCCTTGTACTTTCATTCCTCATTCTCTCCTGATCCCAAAACTGCTTTATTACTTTTCTGCCCCGGGGTCTCACTTTTACACCCTGTTTCAGGCTGGCAGCTTTCTGCTGCATGCTGCTGGGCTGTTAAAGCTACATCTGTACAATTAAGCCAAGCAGCAGTTGGAGCCTGGGAACTGGAACTTGGCTTTGGGCAAGGGACAATTCCCAATAGCAAGTTGAGATCAGTCTGTAAGAATTAACTTACAGCATGACTATGTCTAGACTCTGCCAGCTGGCTGTAACCTTTAAAAACATTAAAAAGCATTCAGCCTGAAGTAGTCCCCAAGTATGAAACATTTCAGGTTAGTTATGGGTTGGCAAGCTGAAATAAAAAAGTTTTAGGTGTCTTGTGAAGGACTGGGAAGCCTTAACCATATGCAACACTACAATGTTTCATAATATGAGATGAAGCTTAAGAATATGATTTTTAAGAGGAGACAGTTTAATCTAATGGGTTTATTTATTAAGTCACATCTGTTTTAAGCCTCTAAGTTCAGTGTTTGCTTTCACAGGCTCCTTGGTCACTGGTATTCTGGCTTACATACGAACAAATCAGAAGGATCTGTGGAGTTAGCTCTTTTTAAAATTGTGAAACCACTTCAATATTCACAAAGAAAGAAGAATCAGAAAACTGAATCATTCCACGAGGCACCCCGACCCTACAGGGAACTAATTTATTTAAGACACTGGCAGTAGGATCACATCTATAGCTTGCTGCCCCAAATCCAGTCCTTACGGGTTAGGAGTAGCCATGACCTAAGGACACCATTTGCTTGTCATACTGCTCTGTGAAATTTAAGTTATCCACAGGATAAAATTGTCACAGTATTACTTCAATTTGCAGCCAGTATCAGCTTCCTGAAACAGTAAACAGAGATAAAAAGAACTCTTCCAAGCAAGTAGAATATAATACTGTTTGCTTATGTGATAACAGATGGTTTCTATTGTTAAAGGACAAGAGCAGGTTGAACAATGCAGCACTGAACACCTTCTGTGACTTAGCAGTATATAAAATTATTGGGGAATTTTTGTTATCACTACATTTGCAGACACGTAAGGAACTATCTCTCATTTGATGCCTCAGCAAACCAAGTCTATAGTGCTAGATACTGAAAGAAAGATTAAAGCAGTTTACCTGAGTTCAAATTTGCTTTGTGCAAAAGGTGGAAGGCTTTGTGTTCCTCCTCTTACTTCCCAGAGACCACCTAACCTCTTCACTCAGCTATCTGAGTAATAGCCAAGTGAAATGCAGTCCTGTGCCCAGGAAATAAAAAGCCCGTTTGAAGCCTCTTGGAGGGCTCTAACACACATTGTCCACAGGACCAAGCTAAACTACTTGTCCTCTGAGAGTCCCAGTACTGATGTGGCAGACTGGGTCATTAAGGTGCCACTTTTCCAGGGAAATATGAACTCTGCCCATTTTAAATCTTGGTGGGAATACAAAGTTCTCTTCAAAACCACAAAATATTTTAATGTGACTTTTACTTTCAAACCTAGAGCTTCCAGATTTCATAGGGAAAGGGACTGCTGCTTTGTCTCTAGGCTTATCTTTAGTAATAATGAGGAAAAAATGCATTATAAAAGCAACCATAACATAGACAGAAAAAAAGCTGGCTTTGATTTAGCAATTTCTATTAGTGAAATGTCTATACAAGGTTTAGTTCTCATGAGCCTTTTGTTATATTTTCTCTGCCCTGTCTAGTAGAGGAGGAGAGTGATGGAGCAGCTTTGGTGGGCACCTGGCTTCCAGCCAGGGTCACTGCACCAGTTCTAGATTACTCTTTGCAACTAGTACCTTCAATGTGACAATATCTGATTAAATGCAGTTTAGACGTCTTCTTGGCTTGTATTTGTAATTTCTAATTGCACTGTAAGTCTGTTTTGGTGGCATGCATTCATATGATTCCAGCTTGGAAAAAATTAGTCTCACCAATATTAGGAGGTCAGAAGTCGCTCAGAAATACTGTTATTTTTCTAGTTATCAAACTGAGAAACTTCCAAGTTACCTCCTTCCTGCATCACCAGCAATTAGAAACCAGCAGCAAAACCTGATTCTTCAGTTGCACCCTAAGTGGTCCAGGCTGCAGTCCTGTTACTGAGATAACCCTGGTGATGGGTATGCAGAAGTACCTCATCTATTGAGTTAAAAAAAAAAAAACAAACAAAAAACACAGCAATTTTAATTCTTGTAGAGAAAAAGTGAAAAAGACAAAACTCATCACAAAACCTTTCTTTTGATCATGGAACACTGAAGAGATTCATAACCGTGCTGATTCCTACTATTTTATATTATAAAATCATTTGAATAGCAAAACTTGCCACTCTGCATTACTTCTTAGTGTTCTGTAACTCTTCCTTTCAAGAAGTTTCCATCGTAAAGTGCTTGGTCATACTTAACAGTGTCAGTTTCAAAGCCAAGTATTAGCCAAAGGATGCCACTGAGGTTCCTGGGCTGACCCCTCCTGTGCCCTAAGAAGGGCTCAGTGGAGTCCTAGGCCTTCCTCTTCCTCACCAATCCATTTCTGCTCATTGTCCCTAAAGGCTGGAAGGCATCAAAACCTCAAAGGTCTGCTTGGAAACCAGGGAGGAATCTCATGCTTGCAGAGCAGAAACGGAGCCGTGTCAGTCCAGGCTCTCTGGATCGGGCCACCAAACAGCACGCACATTCGCCACTTCCCCCGAGAGGCCGTAAGACGTGGTGCTTGCCAGCGGCTGCCGCATCCATAGGCAGGACAGCCGCGGTTGCTGCTGTCCCTCGCCCGCGGGGGGCGCGGATCGGACGGTGACCGGAGGAGGCCGACCTCCACCTGAGGGGATCGTGGGGCAGGCTCGCGGCTGGGCTCTCGCTGCGGGCGGAGGAATGCCCCGCGCGGCCCCGCCATGGACGGACTGGCTGCCCCGCGCCGCCGAGCGGCTACGGACAGCGCCCAACCCCACCGTCCGATGGCGGGCACGCTCGCTCACCCCGCCCTCACACCGCCGCTCCGCGACAACCAATAGCCGCCGAGCCCTGCACGCACTGCCCGCCCCCGACACCCGCTCTGACCAATGGAGGCTAAGTGGGCTTCGAGGCGTCTCCCTCTCACTCCGCCCCCGGCCGTGCCGCTCCCACACGGCAGGCGGGGTGCGCTTCAGTTCGGGGGTAGACAGATCCAGCGGGCTGTGGGCTGAGCCCTGCGGATCCAGCGTGCCACGGTCATCTCCTCTTTGTGGCGCCTCGTTAAAGCAGGCGCGGCACTATGTATTAGCCCGCTCCGTCCTTCCTGTTTCCTCCCCTACTTCCCCGCTCCCCGCCCCCCTCCGCGGGGGTCAAAGTGGACTCGACCACTTGAGTTAGTGCCCAACGGTTCCCCGCGGGTCACGTGGGCGGCGCGTGCTGTATGAAAGGGGGTGCGGGCGGCTGTTCGGCGACGCGCGGGCGCGGGCGGTGGGATGAGTGGTGGGCGGAGCGGGGGGCCGGGGATGCTCAGTCCCGGCAGCACCGTGACGCTGCGGGTCTGCACCGTGGGCCTTCGCCCCGAGGTGCCCGTCGTGCGGATCTGGGGGCTGCTGGGGGACCGCCGCGCCGAATACCTCCGGCTCCGCCGTCAGATCCAGGCGGCGGCGGGGCCGCGCCTGGCAGCCGCTCAGCGACCAGCCGACCCCGCAGCTGGTGGGGTTGAGCTGTGCACGGGAGACCTGGGCCTGGTGGAGGTGGTCGGGCTGTGGTACCGCTGCTGCGTGGTGAGTCGCTCCGGCCAGGACTACCGCGTGTTCTTGCTTGATGAGGGCTGCATGGTGGTCACGTCTGCCTGTTACCTGGCGCAGGGCTGCGAGGAGCTGTTCCGCCTGCCCCCAGAGGTGCTGGGCTGTATTGTGGCTGATGTTGTGCCCTTAGGAAGCCCCGGGGAGGCAGCCTGTAGGGATGCTCCGTTTTCCAACTGGACGGTGGAGGCTATGGAGTTCCTAAGCTTCTTGCATGGCAAGGAAGTGTCTGGACGGGTGCAGGAGGTGATGACGCCACAGCTCATAGTGCTTGAGCTGCCCCAACTGGTGTCCCAGATGCATCACCTGGGCCTGGCTAGGCAAGTCACTCCTAGCTGGTTCTGCCAGACGCTCAAGCAGTGCCTGGCTCATGGCCACCCAAGGAGCCACCTCAAGGTACAGCCTTCAGCATCTCCTTTTGTATCTTGTACAGTGCCACAGTTTCCCCATGTTTTACGCTTGCATCAGCCTGTGTCACCTCCTTTGGATTATGTTTACCCGCAGCTTCAGTTGGATGTGACAGAGCCTGTCCTAGTGACCCATGTCTCTGACCCACACCGCTTCTACTGCCAGTTGAAGAGGTTGTCCCAGGAGATCCGTTGCCTTTCTGATGCCATGCACCACACTTACAAATCCTACTCCTGCTTGCCATTACCCAAAGTGGGCTCACCCTGTGCTGCCCGTGGCGGAGATGGCCAGTGGTACCGTGCACTCCTGCTGGAGCTTATTGCTGGGGAGGGAAACCAGCAATTGGCTCTGGTGATCTTTGTGGACTATGGCAGGAAGGAGACTGTGACCAGAGCTAACCTGTGCCATTTGCCCCCTGAGTGTTTCCACATACCTGTGGTAACTTACGCATGTGCTCTTCAGGGTATCTCGGATGGGGGTTGTGCCTGGTCCCCACTGCAGATCAGTAAGCTGAAAGCATTAGTGCTAAGCAAAGGAGTGAATGCTCACATTAAAGCCTTTAATTCCTTTGAGCATCTGTATTATGTGAACCTGTATGGGGAAAATGGCATCAACTTGAACTATGTTTTTGGGCTGCAGGCGTGCTGCCTGGTCAGCAGCCATATACGGATGAGCCAAACTGAGGGTTGGGAGCAGCTGGAAGTAGAAGAATCCACAGCTGAACTGGAATTGCTTCCAGGAGCACCTCCTATTGCTTTAGTGCATGGAGATATGGCTTCTGCTCCTGTAGCTGATGTACATGTGAACTTGGGCGCATTCTACAATGCGCAGGTCTCCCACCTCCGAGACCCGTCTGAGTTCTGGCTGCAGCTTCGTGAGCATCAGCGGCTCTTTGGGCAGTTGAAGCAGTGCATGTGTGATTTCTATTCACATGCCATGAAGCTGGATGGTGCTAGGTGGGATCTACAGCCTGGATCCCTTTGTTGTGCCAGTGGGAAAGAGGGTGTCTTTTATCGAGCAGTGATCACCAGGGTAGTGGACAGTGAGGTAGAAATATACCTGGTGGACAGAGGCAATACAGAAACTGTACATCAGTGTGCAGTGAAGGAGCTGCTCCCTCTGTTCAGGGAACTGCCTGCTTTAGCTCTGAAGTGTTGTTTGGCAGATGTCTGTCCTCTGAGAGGAAGTTGGAGTGAAACATCTGTGTCTGCATTTAGGGAGATTGTACTGAACAAGGGACTAAAGGTTCAGTTTTTGAGTGTGCAGGGTGACAAATACATAGTTGAAATTTTTGACCAGTCCCGATTAGGAGAGAAAAGTGTAAGTAAACTCATGGCTCAGGGAGGGTATGCTGAATACCAGAGGTCTGAAATACCCAAGAGTGTCCAGAAATCACCTAATATGGCTATGAGCCTGGCCTCAGATGTTGGGGAAGAAAACCAAATAAAAGCGGAGAAGAGGCTGGGAGAGGAATCTGATCTAAAGAGAAGTGATAGGGCGCTTAATTCTTATGCAGCTGTAGCGGTCAGAGGGAGCTCTGTTGCACCCATTCACAATTCTGCAGGTAGTAAATCTCTTCCTTCTCAGAAGTGTGAGGGCAAGAATAACCTGCCCATCTCCTGTACACAGAATTATGACAAAATGAAGCTAAGCTCCTCTTGTGGAGGTCAGTTAGAAGTGGGAACTACAGTTAATGTTGTAGTGTCATATGTTGAAAATCCAGGTCATTTTTGGTGTCAGCTAAGTAGAAATTGCCAAGACCTTAAGTTGCTAATGTCTGAAATTCAGGAATATTGTGAAAATTCATCCCACCCACATGCTTGGCCAAATTCTCCATGTTTAGCCCAGTACTCAGAGGATGAAAAATGGTACAGGGCTTTAATTATTAGTGAAGTTCCTTCTGCAGAAAAAGTAGAAGTCATATATGTTGACTATGGCAACAGAGAGCTAGTCTCTCTAGCAAGTCTCCGCTCAATTCACAAACGCTTCCTTAAGTTAGAAGCTCAGGCTTTCAGGTGCAGCCTTTACAACTTAATTCAACCAAATGGTCAGGATCCTTTTGCTTGGGATGAAGCAGCAATTCAGGCTTTTCAGGAGTTTGTTGATACTTCTTCATCTCATCATGAAGTGAAGTGTACGATATTTGCTTTGGCTTCAATAAGCAAGGAGCTGTTTAACATTGTAGATTTAATGACACCGTTTCAGAGTGCTTGCCAGTTTTTGACCGAGAGGGGTGTAGCCAGACCTTTATCTCCTCAAAAGCCTCTGTCATCCTTGGTTCATCTTCATTCTTACTATTATTCTATGCATGGTATCAAAATTGGGAGTGAGGAAGACGTTTATATTACGCATGTTGAGGATCCATGGACATTTTACTGCCAACTTGAAAGATGTTCAGATGTCTTAGCACAACTTACCGATAACATTGGTCGCCTAAGTGAAAACATGAGCAGCTTAGAAACCTTGCAGAAGTCTGAGAGCTTGTGTCTAGCCAAGTATACTGACAGTCACTGGTACAGGGGAATAATTATGAAAAGGAAACCTGATACAGAAGTGTTCTTTGTGGATTTTGGGAACACAGAGACAATAGATAAAGATAACCTGCTTCCTTTACCCAGTGATGTTTGTGATATCTTGCTTTTGCCAATGCAGGCCATAAAGTGTTCCTTATCTGATATATCTCATCTTCCCAAAGAAGCTATAGTATGGTTTAAACAAGCTGTCCTAGAAAGGCAATTGAAAGTGATCATTGTAGCAAGGGAATCTGACGGTAAACTGTTGGTTGAGTTGTTTGATGGTAATACTCAAATTAATGCAAAACTGAGGGAGTTAAGCTTAATGAGCAATACAGGAATTGGGCCTATAGAAAATGAAACTTTATGCTCTAGAAATACAGATGTGATAGAGAGGAATGGGAGTGCGGAATCCACTTTAGATGCACACAGGACTCTTGAAAGGAAAATGAGCAGATCTGAAGCCCAAGGAGAAGGGGGGGATAGCAAAAGGCACATCAAGAAAGAAGATGAAAACCTTTCCCAGGCTGCTACAAAGGGAGATCTGGCAGCTGGATTACTAGAATCTGGTGAAGTGATTAGCAGTAAGAAGGTTGCTTCCCTGTTAAATAAAGCTGGGAAGGAGTCTTTGCTCTCCGTCCAGATGGATACACAGTCAGATACTAAGTCTGATGCTGAAGGCGGGAATATAGTGCTTGAAAATGTATCTGATCTACTGCAACAGAAGATAATGCCAGGTCTTAAAGTGTCAGTGTATGTGTCTTACGTAAATGATCCACTGGATTTTTATGTTCAGCTAGAAAGTGATGAGGCTCAGCTTAACAGCATTTCAGAAAGCTTAAATGATAGGACGCAAAGAAAGAACCCTTGTGGACAACTTTGCCAAGTGGGAGACTTAATCAGTGCTGCTTATTCAGAAGACAGCCTGTGGTATCGAGCTGTAGTGAAAGAGAAGACTTCTGATAATTTGATAAACATACAATATATTGATTATGGTAATACTTCAGTAATTAATGTTGGTGGAGCACACAGACTCCCTGAAGGCTTGTCATCTATTCCAGCAATAAGCATTCACTGCTTCCTAGGTGGACTTAAATGCAAAGAAAATACAAACTGGGCAGAGAAAGCTGTGCTGTACTTCATCAAGAGAACAAGTGAAGTTCTGCTAACATGTGAATTTGTGGAGAAGGTTAAGGATAAATGGGAAGTTATCCTCAGTGACCATGAAGCTATAATAACTGTGGATTTAGCTGATGAAAATCTTGCAAGTAGTAAAGGATCTTGTTCAACAGAAATACTTGATAAAAGAGAGAACAGTGACATAATAACTGAGTGTGAGCCTTTGCCGCCTCAGGCACAAAATAAAACTCCTTGTATAAGTAACTCTGAGTCATTTATCTGGAAATTTCCAGAGGCAGGCCAGACTGTAAAAATTTATATCACAGTGGGAGATGGTCCAGAATACTTCTGGAGTTACAGTGCTGATACAGAAGACATGAAGTACATAGAGGAAAAAATAGAGGAAGCTGAAAACATTGGACTAAAATCTTTGAATGACTGTGGGGCATGTATTAAAATCGGTGATATTTGTCTAGCAAAATATAGTCAAGATGGGAAGTTCTACAGAGCTAAAGTCAGCAGCGTAGAAGGTGACAGAGTAGTTGTTAGACATGTGGATTATGGAAGTGAGGAAACTATTAGCATGGATTTGGTCAGACAGATTCCGTGTGAATTGATCCAGGTACCCAATCAAGCATTTGCTTGCTGTCTGTCAGATTTCAGTTCCTCTGAGGGCTCATGGCTTAGTGAAGCAAAAGAGAAGTTTAATGATATAACCCAAGATGTCTTATTAGAAGCAAAAGTAATAGAAACTCAAGAATGCAAAGCTTCTGGAGTCCCTCTGTCTGTTGTCAAGCTGGAAGCTTCTGGTAAGAGTATTAATGAAGAGATGAAGTCTTTTTGGAAGGCTAATATAGCAACTGGTGACAAGGCTTTCTCAGACCTTGAGAACCCCTTAAAGGAAAACAGATGTTCGAAGAATGATATGGGTCCTTGTCTGGAAAGAGGAACTCCTGGTGCTTGTGGATTAGCTCAAGAAGAAAGTGAAAGTGCTTTACTTTGTTCTGAACCTTTCCCGAGTATAACTTCCGAGTGTTTCAATGCTGTAGAAGCAAGTATGTCAGTCGAAGCTGTTCAGCATATGTCTGGGAAGGCTGATGATAGATGTGAAACAGCTGAGCATCAAAGCAGCTTTGATGAAGACATATCTCTATCTGGAGGAGACAGCAGTAACAATGTATTACTAGAACCAATGAGAAGCTGCAGTCTTCATGTTTTGGAGAGTGAAATGAAAGCTGAAGAACAAGAAATATCTGAAAAAGCATTTCAAGAGGATGCTGAGCTGAAAGAACTGACAGGCAGTGCTTCAGCAGCCAGTCTTTTCCTAGAAAACAAACAAGAACTGGAAAGAGAGCCAGTGCTACAGTCATCTTCAGGTGATGAAACAGAGATATTAGGAGCACTGGATCAATTACAGAATCAATGTTCATATGATGATCTAAAAGAGTTAATACTGGAGCTAGAGGAAATTTCAGTTCAGCCCTTCTTTGCAGAAGTAACAAAAGAAGCTCTGGAAACAGAGTCAGCCGAAATGCAGACAGCTTCGGATGTTAAAGCAAGAGAGAAAGTGTTTGAACAGGAATCATTTGAACTGCCAGTTGTCAGTGAGGACACAGCGGAGTTGGCAGCTCTGAACTTTCCAGAACTCTTACCATCACTTAATGAGGGGAAGAATTCACTGCCTTTGGTTAGCAATGGAGAGAACACAGTAGAGCTGATTCCATCTGACGTTCAGCCTTCTTTGGGAGAGAATGCAGAGAAACCAGAATTGAATTTGTCTGGAATTCATAAAACAGAGTCTTTGCAAGAAGACTGGATAGAATTAGAGCCTTCTCCCCTAAAGCTGTCTTTGTCTGATGGTAGATCTGAGAAACAACTGGACCTGAAGACCCATGACATGCTGTCATTGCTGGGTGCTGAAATTGAGCAGCTTCTGGAACTGGTGCTGCCTGATGTGCACCCATCTCAGAAGGATGGGGATGAGGACTCGTTAGGGTTGGAACACACTGCACTACAAAGTTCTGCAAATAGCAGAAGTCAGTTATCATTTCTTACAGAAGACTTAACGAATCGGAGGTCTGTTTGCACTGTAAAATCATGTGACTGCAACTTTGAGAAACATAAGGAGTGGCAGAAGAAAGATGACTGTTATGTGGAAGAATGGATGCAACAAGACTTGACTGACTCATTTACAGAATGTGGAAATACACATGTGCGGTATTCAGCCTGTAAGGCTGAGGATGAAGGTGTAGAAGAAAAGCAGAACAAGAAGTGGGCTGAATGTGATGCAGGTAAAGTATCTGAGGTTTTTTTAAGGAGTTAAATAATCAAAATGCTGTGCACATTCAAATGAGAATCACTTTCTTATAGGAACCTAATTTTTATTGCCTAATAAGTTACTATTTTAGTGTTAACATCAGTATGCTTTCATGGCTTAAGGACATCAGGTTAAGTGTAGTATCGAATGGAGCATGTGACAGACTAACAACAGCTAATCTTTGTGAGAGGTTAATGATTTTATTGAAAATCATGTATCTGAACATGAAATGCATATTTAAGACTGTGCAGGATGACAAATTTTAAACTTTCAAATATTAAATAAAAGTTTGGAAGGGGGTGGGGAGTATGGGAGCAAAGTTGTGAGGCATTTGTGGGTTTCTATTTTTGGAGGGGTTGTTTTTATTGTGTTTTGAAGGGGTTTTGTTGTCTGGGGTTTTTCCTGTGCTTTTATTTTCTTTCTCCTTCGCTGATAACATGATTTTTATAGGACACAATGAGTATACTTGTCATCTGAAAGGTTTTGCTGTTGGTTCCAAATGTGTGGTGAGGACCTCTCTAAAATGGTGCGAGGCTCGCATTTTGGAGGTATCTGAAAAAGGTACCAGGGTAAGTATGGTTTCAATACTCTTTCTGCATTACTTAAGAACTGGGCATTTTTTGGACTTCCTCCAAGCTTTTAATATTTTAGGGAAGTCTGTTACAGAATTTAGGACTTAGTATTCCCAAGGTTGATTCTGCACTTAGAGACATTATAGAAACAACTGAGTAGATGCTGTGTGTCAATACTTAATATTCCCTTTATAGGAAGACTGAAGGATCTGGCTCTAGTTTGAGATACATATTTGTGTGTTTTTCCTGCAAGTTAATGTTCTGCAGTGGAGCTGTGTTACCATTAAATGCTTATGAAACTTGTCATTATTTTACTGCTGTTTTATACTGAGGAGTTGGTGCTAGAACAGTATAAACTTGGGAAGAAACCTGACTTATATTGTAATTAATAATGAATATACGATGATTACTGCTTCAGTGCAATGTATTAAATTAGTGGTTGGTGGGAGTTAACAAATTATAATCTAATGGGCTGTGTTGTTCTACTGCTTTTAAACTATGGGATAAACAGTCTTCCTCTGGTTCAGGGGGAGTGTGTGTGTGTATGTATGTACACAAATGCACAGATGTTATACTTACCATAAAAGGGCCTTTAAATTGTAATTTAAGGTTGCATATCCAAAAGATCACTTCATAGAAGTAACTTTTTGAAAGATTGAATGAATGCCTGAGATCATGAAGCCCATCTCTTTTACTAGTGGATTCCTTGGGTATCTAAAACTAACCTCAGCCTGTATTCAGATGAGTGTTGAGTATGTAGCAATATCCCTCCTGATTTGTTTCCTACTGGTTCTGACCTAGTACATGTTTTCCAGCCTTCCCCTCTCACTATACTTGGGTTAAAAGTTCAGGAGAACCTTGAGCAGATTCAGTAGTGATACTCAGCTTTATTAGAGGTTAACTTGCTCTTCCTTGCTAGATACAGACTGAAAGCCTTCTCAAAGGCAGGGAATCCTCAGCTGTGTTTTCTTCCTACTATGATGTCTGATTTGATGAGTGTGTTCTCAGGATCGATCCACTGCTGTGTTAGATGTGGTTTGGTTCTGTCTGTACAGGTCTTGAATCTCTCCAGTGGCAATGAGGAGATTGTGGATCCTGAGAATGTCTGGAATGGTGTTCCTGACTGGGCTTACAGGTCATCTGCGGTAAGGCAGTGTGGTAGTGGACTGGGCAGTAAAGTACTGTCTTTTAGAAAGGGCTCTCTGAGTTTAGTTGTGCTTCTCCCTGTGTCACCCTGAGAATAGAAAGGCAAAGTAGCATTAATCTAAATCTTGTGTATTCATGCCCACTGCTAGCAGCGCAGTATTTTACTTTAAGACTTCATATTATCCTTCCTTCTCTATGGATCACTATGGAGACTACAGAAATTTGTATTAATGTATTATATAACGGATACACAAATCTATATAAATAGTTTACATAAATTATAAACTGTCAGCCATTTGGCCTGAGGACTCTGAATTCAGGCTGGGAATAGATTTATGAAAACAGCTTGAAAGAAATGTTACAGGAAGACTAGTATTAATCAAGAACTGTGGAACAATGCTGATATGTGGCTTTTGACAGGTCATGCTAGTAGAGCATGTAAATAACTGGTAAATTATGAAAAATACTTTTATTATTAAGTAATTGGAAAATTATAGTAAGATTTTTCACCAGTGTTCTTCATGACATACCAACAAATGAAAAACTCATCTCTGGAACCCGAAACTCAGGTTGTCAGCCATCCTACTGATGATAACACAATGCATTTCCAGTTTATTCTTCACATGCAGTTCTTCCATCAACGTAAAAAGTGGGCAGAAGACTTCTGTAGTAAGTTATAAGGGGACAGAGCAGTGGTAAATTAGAGGCCTGCAGTGCTGATGAAAAAGTCAGTCTAGTATTAAAGGAATTGCCTCAGTTGAAAGCTATCTTGGCAGTAGTGCCAGCTTCCTAACAGAATCCCCTTTTGTTTAGGCAGTAACCCCTGTAACAGGAAACTTGCAGTTATTACCGGAGGAGTCCTCACTTCAAGGTAAGACTACCTTAACTCCCAAAGAAGTGGTGAGCTCTATGTTTGGATGCTTTCCAATTTTCTAGGAAATGCTTTATTTAGGAAACTGCAGTTCAAACTTTTTCTTAGCTTATGTGTTTACTATTGTTCCGATTTTTTTTAGCATTAGCTTATGTACTGTCAGTTTAATGGTGAATATCTGTAATGTAAGCTGCTACTGTCTTGATTAGAGATCAGTTTAGTATTTATTTATTCAACCTAGTGGATTGAGCCTTTTGGACAAGTTGGAGTGGTACACCTACATTACAGATTTTGGTAGGGTTTTGAGCTTTAGCCACCAGAATGCTGCTCTTGCTCACCTTGCTTTGCAAATGTGGGCACCTACTAGGCAGACTCGACGAAGCATTGTAATTTGGTATTTGAATTTCCCAATTCATAACAGGTCTTCATCTATAAATCTAAACCTGTAATACCGTCTTAGTTGTTGTAAGGGTAGTTTGTGAATAGTACCGTGTTTGTCTTTATTACTTAAATTCTGAAGTGTTACTAGCAAACACCTATTGTGTACCAAAGAAAATAGTACAAGTTCTTTCTGATTATATACTATATAAAATATATTAAAATCTATGGAATTGTAGAGAAGTTCTGGTTGAAATGGACCTTTGAAGATGCTGAAAGCAAAGTCAACTACAGCAGGTCGCTTAGGACCTTCCTTCCAGGTCTGGAATCTGTCAAAGGATGGAGACTCCAGAACCTCTCTGGGAAACTGGTTCCAGTGTTTGACCAGTGGTTGCCTGACGGAGACTGAACTAAGCTTGAGTAGAGATTGCATTTGTGTTTTCAATGGTTGAATTGGTAATTTAATTTTGGTACACACCTGTACGGAAAGTGGACTGGTTCTCAGGTAACAAATTATGAAGCCTACAATGGAGATCTAGTTACCTGTTGGGCAAACAGCACAGAAAATGTGAGTTAAGGTCATGCAACCATGTGGCAGAGACGTAGATCTTGCTTCACATGTGGGCCGCTGCCTGGAAAGGGAGTTAAGAGTAGAATGTACCCAATCCACAAGATGCAAAAACTCCTGCAATGTGTTACCCTAACACCACTGAGGAATGGAGTGGCTTGAACTTGTAACTAAAATCTGGGAGTACTGCTTGCTTCATCTTGGGCAGTTCTGTTGTTCCAACTGTCTTATCCTTACAATGATAATTTTGCCTGAGTATAGCCTTTTAATATGGTGCAGTATGTTGCTATTTAGTCCAAAGCCCTGTTGAGTTAGACTTCAAATATTAATGCATTTATATGTTTATGGAAAAATTCTGATGGGTCTAATCTATTTCTACTTTCTGTAGAAAAGCAAAGTGGCTACAGTTCACATTTAGCTGAAGATCCCTCATGTTCTCCAACATTGCTGAAACGCGATGTGTTCACGTGAAACTCAACAAGTACCTGTGTCCACAAGCGTTCCTCTGAAAATGTGTTCTCATGGGAACAAGAATACAGGCAAAGCACCGAGTGTTTATTCAACATAATGGAGCAAATGTCTGTCACTACCATACTTCCCTATCAAGGAGCAATACTTGTTACTAGACTGTTACTGTCTGCTTGGCTTCTCATTTCTGTACTTTCTTGTTATCTAGCTGCCAGTGGGTGATTCTTCAAGAGGTCTGAGTTGCTGTATAGGCTACTGTGTGCACAATACTACTTTCTGATGTTTGTTTTGAGGAAAGCTGCATTGTTTAGTGTTTGAGGAAAGTTACATTGTTTAGTGTTTTGAGGGGGTTTTTTCCTCTCTAAAGCATGGTTGAGGGTATGGGTTTTTTTGTGTGGGGAGGAGTGTTGTTTTTTTTTTTGTGGGGGAACATAGTTGATTCAGGTTGAAGTCTTGCATTTGGTGCTGTTACAAAGCAATGGAAGAAGCTGGAATAAAGCTTCAGCTGGTGTATACTGTTTTGTTAATGACTTGTGTTCTTTCCCTAAGCATAAGCCCAAATGTTGTGTGCATACCAAGTATCTTTTTTCAACACTATTACTGCGGTTAGATGTAGCTATGCACATTCTGCAGATCCTGGTTGTTTTGACCCTAACCAGCTCTCTAGACCACTGAGCTGTAGTGAATGCTTTGAAATATCAGTCATATACAAAATAGAACTTGTATGTATGACATGGCCTTAACTGCACTAATGAAAGATAAAACTTTTCCTACAAATATGAAGCAGACCTAGCAGAATGGTTTTGCTCTGAATGTGTACAGTGGGGTAAGGATTTGTTAAACCAGCCACATCTTACCTCACCTTTGATTTTCCTCACGTGTTGAAAGGAGGTTTCTGTTCTGTAGTCCTGTTCTGTGTCAAGATCTCTGACAATGTAATAGTCTGGGTGAATATCACAGTAGATGTCAGTGTTAGTGCTTACACAGTAAGAAGAAACGTGTGTGTCTAGTCCCTTAATAGAGACAATACATATTAGTAGGCTGGAGAGAATTTAATTCTGAAAACAGATTGTAGATGTTGTAATCTCATGTTAAGATCACAGATTATATAAATATTTAATTCCTCTGTTAACTGCTCTGGTTGTTCTGCTTGCTTCAGTTTTGTCACATGATTTTGAAACAAATAGGCTACAGTTAGAAGTACTCCCCCTTTTGCAAGGTTTATTCATTTAGAAGTCGCTCTTCCGGGTGGCAGCTTCAAGGAGTTTTGCTCTAAAAAGCAGAGCTTCCATTAGCAGACCACATAGTCAACTGCTTCTACTGACAGACAGCAAATACCTGTACAAAGATGAGTGTCTGAGTAGTACATCCATGAGAGAAACATCCAGATGATCAAGCAACGCTTAACTACTTCTTTCTGAAGGGAGTGGTAAAGGGACACATCTTTTCTATAATGTCACCTACAACAGTATGACTGACAGTGGTAATTCAGACAGGAACAGGAAGGTCACTGCTTCGAGCTTTGACTAAGGGGAGTTATAGTTGCTACAAGAAGAGTGACTGTTTTAGCAGCTTTTGGAATGGGAACAGCCTCAGAGTATGGTAGTAAACACAGATCTTAAAGTGGGTTGAGCTCATATGAGAAATCCTGTGTCTGAACAAACACTTCTGTTGCATTAAGCTATTTCCTGTACCTTTTACTGGGGCTTACCAAAAAAAAGAGTGTTGAAACCCTTTACCTGGTACCTCTCTGACTTAGGAGCAAAAACCTGCTCCAACCTTCAACTGTTGTCAGAGCACAGCTGAAATACCAAGTGATAATAACGAATCAGATTTCTTTTTTCTTACACTGCAAAGGCAGTTTGCTGGATGCAGACTGACTTAAACCTTGGTACGCACAACTTCAGCTGAATTCCTTAGAGCTTAACTGTCTCTCTGCAAACTTGATTCTAAATCAAAACCAGAGTTTAAATTACCATCAAATGATTTCCCCTCGGCTGCCTACAAATCAGAAGTTGCAGTGTTTCAGAGAATCCCACTGACTCATTTGAACTAAAACTTCTCTACATTTTGTTGATAATATAACCTAATGCCTGATCTCTTTTTTATTTTTTGGTGGTTTTTTTTTTTTCCACACCCCAAAAGCTGCATCAGTGGCCAACATTATCACGTGTCTGAGCAATGTTTGGCCAATATTAGTGTTGTGATGTCTGTAGCATTTTCAGTACTTCTTTGTATTCCTTATTCAGGTTCAGCTGGAGGCAAGTCAATATTGGTACCAGGAATAACATTGGGTCCTATGCCATCCACAAGAGAATCCCACTGATCGAAATCTTTCTTAAGACCTATAAAATGGGGAAAAGGAAGCTTAAGTTGCAGTGACTTAAGTAAATGGCTGTTTTAAAGCTACATTGAAAAATGAAACCAACTTGGCAAAGTAGAGGAAGCATGATGTTTTAGGGAGGGAAGAACAGCAGAGAATCATAGAATAGTTAGGGTTGGAAAGGACCTTAAGATCATCAAGTTCCAATCCCCTGCCAACACCTCACACTAAACCAAGTCACACAAGGCTCTGTCCAGCCTGGGCATGAACACTGCCAGGGATGGAGCATTCACAACTTCCCTGGGCAACCCATTCCAGTGCTTCACCACCCTTACAGTAAAGAACTTCCTCCTTATATCCAATCAAAACTTCCACTGTTTAAGGTTTAACCTGTTACCCCTTATCCTATCACTACAGTCCCTAATGAAGAGTCCCTCCCCAGCATCCCTATAGGCCCCCTTCAGATACTGGAAGGCTGCTATGAGGTCTCCACGCAGCCTTCTCTTCTCCAGGCTGAACAGCCCCGACTTTCTCAGCCTGTCTTCATACGGGAGGTGCTCCAGTCCCCTGATCATCCTTGTGGCCCTTCCCTTGACTTGTTCCAACATTCCCATGTCCTTTTTCTGTTGAGGACACCACAACTGCACACAATACTCCAAGTGAGGTCTCACGAGAGCAGAGCAGAGGGGCAGGATCACATCCTTTGACCAACTGGTCACGCTCTTTTTGATGAAGCCCAGGGTACGGTTGGTTTCTGGGCTATGATCACACACTGAAGCTGGCTTATGTTAAGTTGCTTGCTTTTTTTCTTGTTCTAAACTGAATGGTTATACAGAAAGCCTCAGAGGAATTAAATACTAACTTCATACTTGGATGTGAACAGATACTTACTCAAATGTTTCTGCAGGAAGGCTAATGACGCGTGGTTGCTTATATCAATAGCTTCATTTGGATCTATTTCTCCTTTTAGTTTGAAAAACCTTCCAATAAGTCCTCCACTCACAAAGGTAAAGTCAGGAAAGCTCTGATGTACTGACCCCCTGCAAACAGAAAAAAGAGCCCCAGGCTCTTAAGAATGTCTTGATTAAAAGATGCCATAGGTTGCACAGGCTTCTTCAAAGGCAGTCACACATCTTATACTATCTTTTTTTAGCAGAAGATAAAGCAGGTTTATCTCATGAGCATGCAAGATGAGTAGTGAATTCTGCCCTAAACACAGAAGGGAAGAAGTTGTGTACATGTTTTACTGTAGTCACTGCAATAGCAATCAGAAGTAGGCTTGACAAAACTTCAAGTTGTGTCTCTGCTCCAAGCATAAGGTTAATTCTAGAGCCATCAACTCAGCTGCACACAATACCTTAATGAGGCAAGTGTGTAAATGTACCCAGAAGGCTATTTAAAGTGTTCAAATGCAGGTTTGCATTTGAGCAAAACTTGTGGCCAGGGTGGGAATGCACACCTTGGGGTATCATAAATTTAGGGTTACTGGTGGCTTTGAGAAGTCTCTGTCTCCAGAGGTATCTATTTTAAATAATGCAGTGAAAACCTGGGCCATTAAAAAGTATTGACTGTCTTTCTGCAGTTATATAGAACCATTGAGTGTTTTGGGTTGGAAGGGACCTTAAAGATCATCTAATTTCAACCCCCCCTGCCACAGGCAGGGACAGCTTCTACTAGGCCAGGTTGCTAAAAGCCTCATCCAAACTGGCCTTGAACACTGCCAGGGATTGGGCAGACACAGCTCCTCTGGTCAACCCGTGCCAGTGCCTCAGCACCCTCACAGGGAAGAACTTCTGCCTAAAACCTCATCTCAATCTCCCCTCGTTCAGTTTAAAGCCATTCCCCCTTGTCCTGTCTCTACAGGCCCTTGACAAAAGTCCCTCTCCAGGTTTCCTTTTCCATTTAGGCACTGGAAGCAGCTCTAAGGTCCCCCCTTAAGGAGCCTTCTCTTCTCCAGGCTGAACAAGCCCAGCTCCCTCAGCCTGTCTCCAGAGCAGAGCTGCTCCACCCCTGTGAGCATCTGTGTGTCCTCCTCTGGACTGGCTCAAAAAGGTCCACATCCCTCTTATGTAACTGAACATCTTCAACAACCACAGGAATGATGGATCCTGGACACTTACTTGATAGTGATCATTTTCTTGTTTGTGTCATTGGAGCTGAGCTTCTTCATCTTTAAGATGTTATCAGCCCACTGGAATTTTTCAGAGTTGATAAAAAGCAGCGGTTGCTGGACACTGTTTTGGTAAACGTCATCTCCTACTGGAAGCATCCACGCATCGAGGGCAATGCCACACCTGTCAAAAACATCTGGGTACTGTCACAGAAGCAGGAAGCTTTGTATGGAAGTTCTCAGCATGCTTTGATTTGCAGGAGACTTGGCAGAGAAATGCTCTATGAAACTAACAGGGGAACAGATGAATGAATCACTTTGTTTCAAAATGATTTCTCCTCTGGGGGAAGAGAATTAATCTATTATTGCAGTATCCATGGTCTCAGTTGCCAGGTGCAGCCCAGCACACATTCATCAGGGTGCCACAGTATCATCGTACATAATACAATATGATACAGCTATGGTGTTCCACCACATCCCCATGGTTGAAAGAAGCACAACTTGAGAAAACAAGACATGCCAAACAAGCCTTTTCTTCAAGAGCTAATCAGCAGTTGGGGGATCTTAGGCAAGGTCCCCTGCTCCAGACCTCTTAAGTGCCAAATGTCTCTTGCCTTGTTTTGCATACTTACCTGAATCTTATTTCTTTGCTGAGACTCTCAATAACTGTAGCACCACCAAAAGAGTGTCCCATCACAGCTATTCTGCTAGTATCAACAGAATCCTGTCAAAAAAATCCAGGTGCTGTAAGAGACTTTCTTTCCCAAACTTCTGTTTTCTGTTTTTTTTTGGCTGTTTTTTTTTGTTGTTTTAATGGAATAATTTCTTAGGCAATAGATCCTATTGGAGTAGGAAAAGTATTATTTCATTGCTATCT